TCCAAAGCATTTGATAATATCCCACACCTCATCCTTGTCTCTAAACTGGAGAGACATGGTTTTGATGGATGGACCACTCGGTGGATAAGGAATTGGCTGGATGGTCGCACTCAAAGAGTTGTGGTCAACGGTTCAATGTCCACGTGGAGGCCTGTGATGAGTGGTGTTCCTCAGGGGTCAGTACTGGGACCAGTGCTATTTAACATCTTTGTTGGTGACATGGACAGTGGGATCGAGTGCACCCTCAGCAAGTTTGCAGATGACATCAAGCTGTGTGGTGTTGTGGACATGCTGGAGGGAAGGGATGCCATCCAGAGGGACCTTGCCAGGCTGGAGAGGTGGGCCTGTGAGAACATCATGAAGTTCAACAAGGCCAAGTGCAAGGTCCTGCACGTGGGTCGGGGCAATCCCAAGCACAAGTACAGGCTGGGTGGAGAATGGATTGAGAGGAGCCCTGAGGAAAAGGACTCAGGAGTGCTGGTGGATGAGAAGCTCAACGCGAGCCGGCAATGTGCGCTGGCAGCCCATAAAGCCAACTGTATCCTGGGCTGCATCCAAAGAAGCATGGCCAGCAGGTCGAGGGAGGTGATTCTGCCCCTCTACTCTGCTCTCGTGAGACCCCACCTGGAATACTGCGTTCAGCTCTGGAGTCTCCAACAGAAGAAGGACATGGAGCTGCTGGAGCGGGTCCAGAGGAGGGCCACAAAGATGATTCGAGGGCTGGAGCACCTCCACTATTAAGACAGGCTGAGACAGTTGGGGCTGTTCAGCCTGGAGAAGAGAAGACTCTGGGGTGATCTTATAGCAGCTTTCCAGTACCTAAAGGAGGCCTACAGGAAAGCTGGAGAGGGACTTTTTACATGGGCATGTAGTGATAGGACAAGGGGCAATGGATTTAAACTGAAAGAGGGCAGATTTTGATTAGATACAAGGAAGAAATTTTTTACTCAGAGGGTGGTGAGACAGTGGAACAGGTTGCCCAGAGAAGTTGAAGATACCCCATCCCTGGAAGCATTCAAGGCCAGGCTGGATGAGGGGTTGAGAAACCTGGTCTAGTGGAGGGTGTCCCTGACCATGGCAGAGGTTGGAACTAGATGATCTTTGAGGTTCCTTCCAACCCTAACCATTCTATGAATCTATGATTCTATACTACACACACTTAAAAGGAACACCATTCAGATAAGGATAGATGCTAAATATGTTTTCTAAAATTCACACAGAAGTATGAACTACACTGCAACTTGTGTGAACACACAAATGAACTAAACTGGATTATTCCACATTATTTAACCTAAATAAAAGTGCAGACTTTGTTCCACTTGTTGCGACGAGGATAATTTGTTAGATCTTAACTAGAAAAAATAAAAAGGAGTCTGAGAAACTCTAGTATTTTATTTAAATACTCCAAATCATAGAATCATAGAATCATAGAATGGCTTGTGTTGGAAGGGATCTCAAAGATCATCTCATTGCAACCCCCCTGCCATGGGCAGGGAAACCCTCCACTACACCAGGTTGCTCAAAGACTCATCCAA